CTCGCACTTGAAGGGGTAAAGAGAGCGGAAGGCATCCGCGATGTAAAAGTCTTTGCACTGCTGGAAGAGGTGATCATTTTCCTTTGTTGATCTGTGTTTCGAAGTCTTGTGTAACACCGGATACTCAACTATATTAAGGTCTCCTACGATGAGCAGATGGGAACCAGGTGGAATGAGATCAACCAAAGGTCCCAGTACTGTCCTGATAAACGCTCGTCTATGGCCTTGCCTGCGGGAAAGTAAACGGCAAGTAAAGTGAGACGCAGGGTGGCACAGTGGATCTCAGTCTTCACTAGTCTACCTCAGGGGTGAGCTAACGGGTTGTGAAAAGAGAGGTCCGTTCTATGGCTAAGGATTGCTACTCCTCCAGCTCGGGTAATCGGAGTGGTAGCAGCAAAGGAGGTGAGGTTGAGGGTGGACTAGTAAGGGTTATCTGTCGCTATTCTTGTGTCTGATAGAATCATCACATCTGCTGCCTTCGTGCTGTAAGTCCAGTCTGTTGTTCGTTTCCGTTTGTTGCTGTCACCCAGGCCGTTGACGTTCAGGCCCACAAAGGAGATGGTGTTCCGTGTATTCATTTAATAACTCCTTGAGTGCCTCTATGCAGCCACAGGTAGGCGAAACAAGCTACAGCAACAACCAGTGATCCGGCCGCCATCGCCACTGAGAGTAGATCCAGGTCCATCAGAAACCATACTCATTGTCACACGGGTGACAGCTCCCAGCTCTCCTTGACCATGCAGATGACGAGCAGAGGTGATGTGTTTTGCAGCAGCAACAGACTCTACTTCCCTATGGTATTCTGTCTTTCCGTAGTGAACACATCATGATGTTTATCATAATGCGCACCCCCACAGAGCAGACAAGAGAGCATAGGGTAGTGGATCAGCAATATCTTATCGTGCTCAAGGGGATGCTTGACTTGGTGGATCCAGCGCCTCTTCTTATCCTCTGGGTGAGGTACCACCAATCCCTTAATCACATCTGTGTCAGCTCCTGAAAGCGTTACCTAACGGATCTTCAGCTTGTACTTGACCAGCATCTCCTCCAAACCCTCTGGCGGGATGTTAGTAGGTATGCCTTTGGAAACCACTTCAATGACGCGCGGGTTAGTCGCCTTTTCCCGAGCAAATGTCGTATTCTCAGTATGTAGGAGGTACCATTAGCCTATTGATAATCCAATGTTGCCTGACAGATACTGCTTGCATCCTCTTCTTTCAGGAAGGACACTTGAAGACGACTATAACGCGTCTTAGCGACGTAACCAGGAAGAAGTTCCTGAAAGTTAACTTGATTGTTAGCACCATGTCGCTGCGCCTTCCGCCGTCGCGCCTGCCGCGCCTCCCCCGCCGCCATCCGCGCCCGCGCCTACCACGCCTGTCGCCACAGGTACTGCCACCACGCCCGTGCCTACCATGCTCGCGCCTGTCCTGCTCGCGCCCGTGCATGCCTGTCGCGCCTGCAACCGTCGCGCCTGCTGCTGCTCGACATCGCCACGCTCGCCAGTGCTACACACTGCCACGCCTACTACTGTTCGATGTCCCCGCGCCGTCCGCTGCCTGCCTCTGATTGTCCCCTCCTCTCCTGTGGCAGTCCCCTTTCATCCGCTGCGGCTGTGCCCTTGCTCGCTCTTGTCATGGCGTATGAGTACGTGCCGCGTCTCGATGTGGAGGGGCGGATGATCGACTTTGACGCATGGCTGCTAGACGTAAAGGTCCACCTGCAGAGCCTGCGCCAGGACGACGTCTCCCCGTATGCAAAACAAAAGTCCACTTCAGAAGTTTCCAACACAACAATGAACTTTGGGGAGTCGTCAAGATGCACATGCAATACATCCAGGAACGAAATGGAGTGCTGAAACATTTGAATGGTTATTCCAGCATTACCTATGTTATATATGTAACGCATTAAACTCGTATAGAGTAGCTTACGCCTGCACTATTGGGTTTACACCAGGGCTGACGTTTCAAATTTAGGTTGTCAGATGTATATGCCTTAGCCTATGTAGGCTGTAGTGGGGTAGACACTAAGGGGTACAGGTTTCATATTTGTATCTCACACTTTCCTAGTTCATTCTTTCCTGTTTAATTCTTCACATGGTATAGAGCGGGTTCCCTCATGGGACCGTTCCTTCCTAAGGGCGCACCATAAGCAACTTTTTTTTAGCTGCCCGAAGCGCGTCTCGCGCCCTGCCCTAATTTTTTTTTTTCGCGGCCCCCTAGCGGCCCCTAACGGCCCCTACGCGGCCCCTACGCGATCCCTACGCCGCCCCTAAACGGCCCCGTCGCGGCCCCGTACCTGACGTGGCCCCGTCCCTGACGCGGCCCCGCCCCTACGCGGCCCCTACGCGGCCCCTACGCGGCCCCTACGCGGCCCCTACGCGGCCCCTACCCGGCCCCTACGCGGCCCCTACCCGGCCCCTACGCGGCCCCCTACGCGGCCCCTAAGCGGCCCCTACGCCGCCCCTAAACGGCCCGACCCGGCCCCGTCCCTGACGCGGCCCCTACGCGGCCCCTACGCCGCCCCTACGCGGCCCCTACGCCGCCCCTACGCGGCTCCTCCGCGGCCCCTAAACGGCCCGACCCGGCCCCGTACCTGACGCGGCCCCTACGCGGCCCCTCCGCCGCCCCTACGCGGCCCCTACGCCGCCCCTAAAAGGCCCCGTCCCGGCCCTACCCCGGCCCCGTCTCGGCCCCGTCCCGGACCTGCCCCGGCCTCGACTCCGTCCCGGACCTGCCTTGGCCCCGACCCCATCCCGGACCTGCCCCGGCCCAGACCCTGTCCCGGCCCTACCTCGGCCCCGTCCCGGACCTGCCCCGGCCCCGACCCCGTCCCGGACCTGCCCCGGCGCCGACCCTGTCCCGGCCCCGTTGCTGCCCCGTCCCGGACCCTGCTCGGCCCCGACCCTGTCCCGGACCTGCCCCGGCCCTGACCCTGTCCCGGCCCCGTTGCTGCCCCGTCTCGGACCCTGCTCGGCCCCGACCCTGTCCCGGCCCTGTCACGGCCCCGACCCAGTCCCGGACCTGTCGGCTCCGCCCCTGGTAAGAGCCTAGCCGGGTCGAGCCGCGCGGCCGAGCCGCACTGCTTTGCCGAGTTGCCCTGCCGAGTCGCACTGTCCTGCCTCGCTCAGTTGCACTACTGCCGCTGCTAGTCTGCTGCTGCTCCTATCATGGCTAGTCCTAGTCTTCTCACCTTTGATGTTGAGGGTCGAGCGGTTGACTTTGATGTCTGGCTAGATGATCTGCAGCTTTTCCTTCAGTGCGATAGCAAGGATGGTCTCTCCCTGTTTGATCTTACGTCGGGCGCCTCTACTGCCCCTGCTGCTGATGCTGACAGTACCGTTCGCTCGCAGTGGCTCACGCGCGATGCTGCTGCCCGTCTTGTTTCTGCCTAGCATTTCAACACGGGTGTGATTGGCCTATCTGGTGTGCGAGTGTAACGTTTCCCTGTCTTATTACCATGCCCAATTGGATCTCTTCAGCTGGCATGCATCAGACACGTTGCGACTGTAGTTAGTCACCCTCAGAGGCGTTCCTTCTGGAGCGAGTGTACCGATCGAACGGGCGAGTCACACCTGTTCGAGTCACAGATTTCCGCTGTCAGAGCCTATTTCGACCAATCCCAGCAAAGTATATCTGACGTTGCAGATTCACGCGATCTCGATGGTCGGTGTATCAGAACTAAGTTTCGAAGAAACTTCGTCTCGATAAAGCGAGAAGGGGGGGGATTACGCACATGTGGGGGGATCACTGCGATCAATCCAAGGCAGGGTCATCGGAAGGAAACTTCCGAGAAACTTCCTCTCGATAAGTCAGGGTCCACACAGTCGATACTCTGTTAAGTCAGGGTCCACTAACAGCCTAGTCTGTTACACTGTACTCAAAATCAGGGATAGCTAAACTATTACTCTGATTGGATCAGGGCTGGAAATTCAATAACTCTGAAATTTCAGTCTCCACGAAGTGGAAAGCCTGAAATCACCCTGAAATCAGGGTAATTACCCTGATAAAATCAGCCCTGTTTCACAGTCTTATAGGAATCCTCCGACCGTTGAGTTATCACAAAAATTACCACGATCCCAACTTAAATTGACGGTAAGGACATGACTCAGCTCACAAACCTTATCCCACTTCCACGCATACCCTCGCCAGACGCACGTATCCCACTCTCGCGCCTCCCCTCATACCGGTACGCCTTCCCTCGCAAACGTGCTTCCCTTGCAATCTCGTACTGATTTTGCAGCACATGAAAAATTTCTACCCCATTTTAACTGTAGATCCTCTCTTCAGCGTATTACTTCTAATGACTCGCTGAGCAATAAATAAGGATTAGCTGGTTCTGGTATAAGTGTGCGCCACAGGGTACAGCATGCTGTATGGAGGATAGTAGAAACGAGTTCTCTGTATTGTGCCTCCAACCTGCGTGTTGCCAAAATTCCACGGAACTTCTCTGTGGGACCTCCAAGCCGGTGCCCCCGTCAAAGCGATTCTTCTGTTCTGCAAAACCACGTCATTCCTGACGCCAATTATCCACGCAGGCAGCGCTCCGTCAAGGAGGAACAAAGTTGGTTTCACTGTCAGGAACGCCAATACCAAGGACATCCATCCACTTGTTTTGTTTGACCAGGTCGGGAAGGTTTCGGTATGATTCGGTGTGGTATGGTGATTTTCTGTGGCTCATACTGCGGTGCTTTGGCCATCCCCCTAGGGCATCCTTCTCGTCTCCGCCCATACATCCAGTGGTGTATGTATGTACAGAGTTTCTGGTTGGGAAAAAGGTCCCACCACCACACAAACAGTTTTAATATTATTGGTTGAAAAAGTGGCATCAATCCTGCAGGAGTAGTCATGGCTTGCTGGCAGGCTGTGTGGGACCTGTACGGGCGTTAGCGATTTAATTATTAAGGCTGCTACATTCTCTCCGCTTTACGGTTATGATGATTTAATCTATACCTGATGAGTTGCTTGACAGCCACACCGATGCATGGCAGGTCGTGAGCCATGAGTGGTCCATATAGAGGTTCCCGATGGGCCTCACAAGATGGTAGGCCGCTATCCAACGGTCGATTAGGCGCAGAGCTGTCGCCGCCACGCGGGCTGCACGCTCGGCTTCCGTCATACGAGGATCAGCAGGGTCATGCGCAGCAGGCTCAGGTGCAGCAGGCTCCGGCGCAGCAGCTGGTATACTGGGAGCAGCAGCAGCAGCAACAGCAGCAGCGGCAGCAGCAGCAGCAGGTTCAGCAGCAATGGCAGGAGCCGCCGTTGCGGATGCCGCCAGCGCCTGTGCCGTACGGCCAGCGGCAGCACCAGCAGCTGCAGCAGCAGCAGCAGCCGCCTCGGTCGGGCCTGAGTGCGCGACCGCGTGCGACAGCCAGTGCGTCGTACGAGCAGCGACCGTCGTACGAGCAGCGGCCGTCGTACGATCACCGACCGCCGTACGATCACCGTGCGTCGTTCGATCAACGGCAGTCGTACGAACGAAGGCCGTTATCCGCATCTCCCGGTATCGCCGCGGTTCGCTCGTACAGCACGGACGCTCCCCCCGATTTCTCCAATCCGCGACCGCTTTCGGCAGCAGCGGGCGTGCCACGTGGCCGCAGAGTGAGCGACGAAGATAGGTACGGCGGAGACGACGCGACGTCAGGTCGACCAATGGTTGACCGACCCGCGGAAGGTCGACAGACCGGTTCTTCATCCGGTTATCCCGCAAACACTTATCAGGCCCCTCATCAGGCCCCTTATCAGGCCCCTTATCAGGCGCCTTATCAGGTGCCTTATCAGCCGCCGCAGGCGCCTTACCATCATCCGCAGCTTAGTCCTCACGGCGGCGATATCGCGCTGAAGAAACCTATCAGTCCGAGACAGGGGAGAAGTCCTAGTAGAGCCCTTAGCCCGCTCGCTGCTGCCGCGTTCGGCATGCGAGGGGGTTACGGCGCGCCGGGGAGGGGGAATGAGGAGTGCGTGTACGGGGAAGACGAGGAGGGGGAGGAGGAGGAAAGCCGGGAGCGGAGCTTGCGCGCGGGGATACTGAGAGGCGCGGCGGCGCTGAGAGAGCGGCAAGCGGGGTCGTCGGACGACGGCGCGAGCACCTCCCCCACGTCGATAGGCTCCCCCGGGGTTCTGCCGGGCGGGGGCGCGGGATGGAGCGGAGGGGCCGGCGGAGGATTAGGAGGCGCGGGCGGAGGATCTGAGCCGTCGAATCGTCCCAGCACTGCGAGCAGCACCAGCAGCACCATGAGCGGCGGCGGCGGCGGGTTTGGCGGAGGGTTTGGCGGAGCGGGGAGTAGCAGCAGCAGCAGCAGCAGCAGCAGCACGGGGGTGACGGTGATACGCGGAGTCATGGCGGGGGGGTCTGTGGGTAGAAGCGGGGGAACAACCCTAGCGGGGAAGCAGGTGGTGATTCGGATTCGACCAAGGGGGGGGTCCATAGACGCGTCGCACGGAGTGGGTTCTACCAGCAGCGGCAGCGGCGGTGGCGGAGGCGACGGCGGCGGCGGCGGCGCGGACGTAGGCAGTGGCGCGGCGGCAGCGGGTTTCACGGCGACGGTGACGGCTGTGCTTCCGGCGGGCGCAGCTTCCCCCCAGTCCCCGTCTAGCGCGCGCAGACGGGAGGGGGGGAAGGCGGGCACGCCTGGCGCGGGCGGAGGGAGGCTAGAGGGGTTAGGGAGGCACACATTCGCAGCGGGTAGCACAGGCGGCGATGCTGCTGTGGAAGGCGGGTATTCCCGCGAGGCCAACCTCACTCTCCCTGGGAAGCGAACCGACGCCTCGGGCGAGCCTAGGTTCAAAGGTGTGACGCGGCTAGGCTCGGTGGCTTCTGCCGAAGCAGTAGCCGCGGCAATCGCGGAGGCGGACGCGGCAGCAGTGGCGCAGGCGGGGAAAGCGGGGTGGGAGCCGCCTCTCAGCCCTACAGGGGTGCCTGCCATCCCCGCGGAGGGCCGTCTGAGCAGTGAGGGAGACGTTTTTCTGGAGTATCTGCGCAAGGCGGGGGAGGGGAGGGCAGCTGCACAGTATGACGTGGCTGTGTGCTACGGAGGGGGCTTTGGCGTGAAGCAGGATAAGTCCCTCGCCGCGTACTGGTTTAGAAAAGCGGCGGAGCAGGGTTTAGCGCGCGCACAGTACGCTCTAGCGGAGTGCTATGAGTCAGGTGCGGGCGTGGAGAAGGACGAGGAGGAGGCTTTCCGGTGGTTCTTCCGGGCGGCGAGTTTCGGCAGCGGGAAGTATTTGGTCAAGCTGGGGCTGTGCTTTGAACGGGGGTTTGGAGTAACGGAGTGCCCTGTAGCGGCGCTGTACTGGTATCACAAGGCGGCGGAGCAGGGGCCCAAGTTTGCCGCGCAGGTGGAGAAGCGCATGGAGGTGCTGCAGCGGCAGAGGGAGGAGGAGATCATGAGTGCGCGTGGGGAGGGCGTGCCTGTGGAGTGCATCTGCCCGCTGACAGGGAGGGTGATGGAGGACCCGGTGGAGCTGCCGGAGACGAGTGTGTGCTGTGAGCGCGTGCAGGTGAAGACGTTCTGGGACCACTGCGAACTCAGATGCCCCGTCACCAACCAGGTGGGTAGGTTACCAACCAGGGGGTTACTAACCAGGTATGTGACTAACCAGGTATGTGACTAACCAGGTATGTGACTAACCAGGTATGTGACTAACCAGGTATGTGACTAACCAGGTATGTGACTAACCAGGTATGTGACTAACCAGGTATGTGACTAACCAGGTATGTGACTAACCAGGTATGTGACTAACCAGGTATGTGACTAACCAGGTATGTGACTAACCAGGTGGATGGTTTGCTTGCTAGTCGGGTGGGTCACCAACCAGGTGCGGTTACCAACCAGGTGCGGTTACCAACCAGGTGGGTCACCAACCAGGTGCAGTTACCAACCAGGTGGGTCACCAACCAGGTGCGGTTTCTCTTATGGTCTTGGCGTGTCATGACATCTTTTAAACCTTGTCAGTTTTTGCTTCTTTGGTATAGAAGGTTTTTGTTTGTATGCTGTTCTACTTCCTCGTTTTTGCCTCTTCCGTTCCGTCCCTTCCGACACCCGAATTCCTTCCACCCTACGCTTCTCTTCTGGCGCACCCTCTGGTTCTCTTCGCTCTTCACCCGCTCATTCCATGCTTCCTCATCTCCTCTTTTGACCCTTCACCCTTATCTCTTCACCCTTTCCCACCTTCCTTCCTCCCACCCGCGTACACTCCCCTCCCGTCGCCAGCCTCTCAAGGTGAAGGACATGAAGACAAATCTAGCCATCCGGCGCCGAGTCACTGAGTGGAAGGTAGGCACCCGACATTTGTCAAAACCATATATTTCTCAATGTTCAATAGCTCGTCTTTCCATGTTACCACCACCCCCTCCCATGTCTCCGCCAACCTGCCTATCCATGCCCAATCCCTCTGCCGCTCCCCATCCCTCTCTCTCCCCGCCTCCCCCCATATTCCCCCCTCTCCCCTCCCCGCCATCCTTTTTCTCCGTTACCCCTTGCTTCTCAAACCCTGACAAAGCCTTCTGGCTTTTGAAAACATATTCAGAAGCCTTGATCGCCCAAACTCTGCTCACAAAAAGAGCCCCTCTCTCGCTCCCCATCCCTCACTCTCTCCCCCCACCCAACTCCCCACCCCCATCTCAACCCCCTTTCTCCTTGACCCCTGACACCCCATACCCCGGTGAAACCTCCAGCGCAAGCGGCAGGCGGAGCAGGAGGAACTACAGGGGCCAATGGGGCCTCGGGCGTCCACCAGCCAGGCAGTCGTTAGCGATGAGTGGGGGGCGGAAGGGGAAGATGAGGGGGAGCATGGCCGGGCTTATGGGCTGCACGAGGAGGAGGAGGAGGAGGAGGAGGAGGAGGAGGAGGAGGAGGAGGAGGAGGAGGAGGAGGAGGAGGAGGAGGAGGAGGAGGAGGAGGAGGAGGAGGAAGGGGAGGAGGGTGTGGGTGGGACGGCGGTGGGCAGGGCTGGGCTGGGGATTGTGGGAGGGAAGGGGAAGGGAAGAGGTGGAGAGAAGGAGGGAGAGAGGACGAAGAGTCGGTTTTCTAGGGATCTATCGGAGGAAGGGGAGAGGAGTGGGGCGAGTGAGAGTGAAGGGGAGGAAGAGGAGGAGGTTGGTGGGAGGTCGAGGGGGGCAGGTGGAAGGGATGCAGGGGATGGGGTTGGAGAGAGGAGGAGGAGGGGGGAGAGGAGGGATAGGCACAGTGATAGTGATACAGGTTCGTCGTATGTGAGTGATGAGGACGATTATGATGATGATGATGATGATGATGATGATGATGATGATGATGATGATGATGATGATGATGATGATGATGATGATGATGATGATGATGATGATGATGATGATGATGATGATGATGATGATGATGATGATGATGATGATGATGATGATGATGATGATGATGATGATGATGATGATGATGATTATGATGATGGGGAGGAGCGGAGGCACAGGCACAAGAAGAAAACGTATGATGATGATGATGGGTCTGTGGATGATAAATATGATGACGAAGATGAGGATTATACTTCTAGTGAGTACGACAGAAGCGAGGATAGATCGACAGACGGTGAAGGGTACAGGGAGGGGAGCAGGGAGAGGAGCAGGAAGGGGGTAGACCGTAGGAGTAGTAGTCCTAGAAAGGGGTCAGGGAGGGGGCGAGGCAGCAGCAGCAGGGGGAGGAGGGATGAAGACGGGTCGGACTATAGTGACAGTGACTACAGCCATAGTGACTCTAACGAGGGGGAAGGCGATGAGGGGGGCAGAGGTGGCAGGGGCCGATCCAGTGGAGGGGCAGACAGGAGCCGAGAGACAAGCTTCAAGTCAAGAGAGGGGGACAGCGAGGAGGGAGAGGTGGCAGTGGGGCGGGCGTTGGGTCATGATTCGTCCCGCGACTTGTCTCACAGCTACAGCCGGGATTCATCCCGAGCGTACAGTGAGAGCGTGCCATCTGAGCCGTCCATGCGGCGAGATGCATCCCTGGATGAGCCTGGGAGAGCGGCGGTGCTGATGCCCCGGGGTGGGTCTGTTGGTGGGTCTGTTAGGCGGGATGGGTCCATGAGAGGGGAGGGGGTTGTTAGGAAAGAAGGGTACTTGTCTGGTGAGGAGGATGGAGACAGAGGAGAGGGGCTTGGAGTGAGAAAAGGTGAGGAGGAGGGTGAAGAGAGGGAATGGAAGGAGGGAGAGATGAAAGGAAGTGTGAGCGGAGTGGGAGTGGGTGAGATGGAGGGTGAGGGGTTGGGGATTGGGGGGGTTGAGACGGAGGAGGCAGCAGAAGGGTTTGAGGAAGAGGAGGAGGAGGAGGAGGAGGCGGAGAGGAGGGATCCGACGGAGCTGCTGCTGGAGGAGCTGGCTCAGGCCGAGCTGGACTATGGCTTCCCCGGGGCTAATGTCAGTGGTCTTTCCACTAACTGCTCTTATTGCTGGGTGCTCTTATCACTAACTGCTCTTATTGCTGGGTGCGCTTATCACTGCATCTCAATGTCCAGGCACGCCCCTCTGCCTGTCCCTCTATCTCTCCTCCCCCGATCCCAAACCTGCCTGTCTCTGGAGGCGAGTCCCACCAGCACCGATCACAGCACAGCACACCAGCATTTTTCATGGCACGCCCGCCTGCCTGCCTGCTGCCTTATCGCTTCCTTCCACCCTATGCAGGTGGTCGGCGTGCTGCCGTGCGCTGTGACTGGAACAGCTCTGTGCTCACATCAGATTCTCACTGCACATCCCTCTGCGTGCTCTGCCCCCCCACCTCTCTCCCTCCCCCCCTCACCCTCACCCATCCCCGCAGGTGAGTCCGCGCACGGTGAGTCGGTGGAACAGCACGCGGGAGGACAGCCTGCAGGCTGTCAAAAGCGTTGTGGCGGAGGTGAGCGGGGAAGGGGAGGGGAGGGGAGGGGAGGGGAGGGGAGGGGAGGGGAGGGGAGGGGAGGGGAGGGGAGGGGAGGGGGAGGGGAGGGGAGGGGAGGGGAGGGGATAGGAGAAGTGGGCTGGAGTGTATATATGGGAGGAGGGGAAGGGAGGAGGGGGGGAAGGTTAGTTGAGTGTGATCCTTGCAAACGCCCCATCCCCCCCATTCTTCCCTCTCCGCCCCCCTCTCAGGCGGAGCCAGCCAGTGATTGTTTGTGGGGCGCGGTGGGCGCTGGCACGGTACCGCGAGGTGGTGGAGAAGCTTGCGGCCGTCTTGAGGTGCCTGAGTAATAGTCCATACAGAAGCCTAATCCCCCCCTCGTCCTTTCCACCTCCCCTCCGCCCCCCTCTCAGGCGGAGCCAGTGATTGACTGTGGGCCGCGGTGGGCTCTAGCGCGCTACCTTGAGGTGCTGGAAAAGCTGCTGCTCGTGCAGCGGGAAGCTGCGCAGAACCTTCTAGGGTCATGCGCGGGCGGCACGGGCGGCTCGGGCAGGGGAGCGGGGGAAGGCGAGGGGGAGGTGTGGGAGGCGGTGGAGGCGTTGGAGGGGCTGTGTGCGCGCGGTGTGCAGCAGCTGCTGGATGACTTCAGGGCTGCGCTGCTTGCCTGCAGGTACCACTGCCTCCTGTCTCTGTGTCGCTTCCTCTGTGTGTGCCTGCCTGTGTCCATCCATGTGCCTGCCTGCGCGTGTGCATGCTTCTGAGTCTGCTCAGCAGCGGCTGTGTGTGTGTGCGGGGGGTGCAGCAGCTGCTCGATGGCTTCAGGGCTGCTCTCCTCGCCTGCAGGTACCGTTGCCTCTGCTCACCTCTTTCCCCCACATGCCTCCACTCACCTCCCAGAATTCTAAAGAATACTCACAACGTTCCCCCCTTCCCCCCCTGTACCCACTACAGCCAGCCCCTAGACACAGCAGAGCTACACGAGGCGGCGGCAGCAGCAGCAGCCCACTCCTCCCGCTCCTCCTCCTCCGCCCACCAGGTCCCCGTCCACGCGCCCCCCTCCTCCTCCCCCTCCACCTCCGCCTCCTCCGCCCCCGCCCTCACCGCCATTTCCTCCAAGTCTGGCCCGCTTCCCACCTCCGGTGCTAAGCCCAAGGGGCATGCGCACAAGGGGGGTGGGGGCTCCGCAAGGGAAGGCGGGGAGGATGGGGGTAGGCACTCCGCCCCCTTCCCCTCGCCTGCCCATGCTGATAGGCATGGTTCTTCTGCTGCTGCTGGAGCTGCTGGTGGTGCTGCTGCTGGTGGTGGTGCTGCTAGTGGTGGCGCTGCTGGCGCCGGTGACGGGACAGGGTCGTTGGTTGGTGATTCCGTTTCTGCGAGTGGGTCTGGGACAGGGAACAGTATCCATAGAAGTGGGAGTGGGGGCGGGGGGGGGAGTGGGAGGGCGAAGGGGAGGGAGAGGGAGGGGAGGCTGATGAGGAGGCCCACGAAATGGGTGGGGGCGGACAAGGCAGCGGTGGGGCTGCGGCAGGTGGTGCAGGTGCTGGCTAGAGCAGGCCACTTCGACCACTGCTTTGATATCTACAGGTGGGTGGGGCTGCTGGTGGGTGGGGCTGCTGGTGGGTGTGGTTGGAGCTGCAGATGGAAGTGTTGCTGGTGAGTTGCAGCTCGTGAGTGGCTCGTCACATCACGTGCGTCCGTGCATGTCGCTGGGTGCTAAGGCCAGGTTCAAACACAGCATGTGTGTTTGCTTCATAGCAAGCAAGGAAGCATGTGTGTTTGCTGCATAGCAAGCAAGGAAGCATGTGTGTTTGCTGCATAGCAAGCAAGGAAGCATGTGTGTTTGCTGCATAGCAAGCAAGGAAGCATGTGTGTTTGCTTCATAGCAAGCAAGGAAGCATGTGTGTTTGCTGCATAGCAAGCAAGGAAGCATGTGTGTTTGCTGCATAGCAAGCAAGGAAGCATGTGTGTTTGCTTCATAGCAAGCAAGGAAGCATGTGGTTGTGCAGTATCTAATGGTGGCTGTTGAGGCGCCTCAATATGTGTGCGTTGGGAAGCATGTGGTTTTGCAGTGGTGGCTCGATGAGCAATGGAGAGAGTGTAGAGAGTGAAGTTACGTGGCACAGTGTGATGTCCTCTGGATCAATTAATGCCTCTAGTTTTCACCTCTTACCCATCCCCTCCCTCCCCCACTCCCCTCCCAACCCCCCCCTCCCCCTCTCTTTCCCTCGTCTTTCTCCCCCTCCCAACCCCTATCTCCCTCCCCTATCAAGCGCCTCAGTCCCCTCTCCTGTTCCCCTTTCTATCCCCCTCCCATCCCCTTCCCCTCCTCTCCCTTTCGCTCCCCTTCCCCCCACGGTTTCAGGTCGGTGCGAGAGGACTGTGTGCGGGAGACGATAAAGGCGTTGGATGTGGAGCCTATAAGGGGTACGGCGCACGTGAACCAGCTGCCATGGCAGCAGCTGCAGCACACCATGACCGACTGGCTTAGAGACTGCCGCCTGCTGGTGAGTGGTGCTGTTGGTGGGGACTGTGGTGGTGAGGGGTGTAGCTGGTGCGGGTTGTTTGTGGGGAGGGCAGCTGCAGCACACCATGAAGGACTGGCTGCGCGACTGCCGCCTCCTGGTGAGGATCGGTGCTTGTGGGGAGGGCTGTGGGGGTCACTGTGAGAAGGAAGAAATTGTATTAACTTAGGCTCGAATGAGCCAATATACATAGGTGGAGAGAATGGTAAATGGAGACTTGGCCAACAATTATTGGAGGCTCCAATAATTGTTGGTTGGGTTTTAGCCAACATCATTGGAGGTCCAATAATCGTTGGGAACTCAACCAAGCTCCAACCAATGATTCTGGTTGGATGTAGTACACCCATCGAACTTAAAGGTGCTGCTGGTGAGGGCTGTTTGTGGGGAGGGGTGTGGTGGTGACAGACAGGTGGCGCTGGTGAAGGCTGTGGTGGTTAGGGATGTGGAGGTGAGGGAGGGGTGGTGCTAGTGATGCCTTGTGGTGGTCCTTGTTGAAATCTGCAAGTGCTGCTGCGGTCCTTCTTACCCCCCTTCTTCACTCCCTCACTGCCTGCGCTGTTACCCCTTGCCCATCACTCTCCTCTGCAAACGTCTGCCTAACATCTGCCCTTCCCTCTCCCCACTGGCTCTCCCCTTCTCTACCCCTGCTCAGCTGCGCACGATTATGGAAGAGGAATTCTCCCTTGCCACTTCCATCTTCGGCATACTCCACTCCACTTCACAGCACCGCACTGCCAGCCGCCGGGAACCCTCCCAACTCCTGCAAACCCCTTCCTCCGCCTCCTCCTCCACCACAGCCACCAACACAACCTTTTCCAACCCTCGCCTCCCCAGCCGCCGATCCTCCAGCATCCGAACCAGCAAGTCCGGGAGGTCCGGGAGCACCCGGACCTTGAGGCTGGGCGACGAGGCTGCAGCAGACTCAGGGAGGGCGATCTCCCTGAAGATATTGCGGCAGGCGGGGATGCCTCGCACGCTGTCAATGTTGATGCACAACGCCAACACGCTCACAGCTGCTCAGGCCACACCTGAAAGGCTCTTCCTGCTGCTCGACATGGCTGCTGCTGTGGATGAGCTCATGCCGCAGGTGGGTAGGTCATGTTGAGGGCTCGTGGGTTCTGGGTGAGGGGGGGTGGGTGGGGGTGTATGGGTGAAAGGAGCTCAAGTCTCAGGTGGGCTATGGTGGGGGTGATGGGGATGTTTGGGTTGGGGCTGGGGTTGATGGGCGGGGATGCTGCGCACGCTGTCAACGCTGATGCACAATGCCAACACGCTGACGGCTGCACAGGCCACGTCTGAAAGGCTGTTCCTGCTGCTCGACATGGCTGCTGCTGTGGACGAACTCATGCCCCAGGTGGGGAGGGGGATGGGGGTGTTGGGGGTTTCAGTTTCGTTTGGGTTAGAGGAGCTCATTTCTCAGGTGGGCAGGTCGTGCTTCAGGTGGGCAGGTCGTGCTTCAGGTGGGCAGGTCGTGCTTCAGGTGGGCAGGTCGTGCTTCAGGTGGGCAGGTCGTGCTTCAGGTGGGCAGGTCGTGCTTCAGGTGGGCAGGTCGTGCTTCAGGTGGGCAGGTCGTGCTTCAGGTGGGCAGGTCGTGCTTCAGGTGGGCAGGTCGTGCTTCAGGTGGGCAGGTCGTGCTTCAGGTGGGCAGGTCGTGCCTCAGGTGGGCAGCTCACCACCTAAATTGCAAGCCTAAGCCTCTGGTGTGCTGCTCACTTGTGGGAAAAGGTTGAAGGTCCGAGTCTAAGTTGGGGTTTCGTGGTAAGGAGCCTACGGACTCTAGTTGTATTTTGAGACGTCTCAAAGGAGCCTATTGACTCTAGTTCACGTCTCAAAGGAGCCTATTGACTCTAGTTCACCCAACTCTCTCTCTACCCCACGCACCATCAAGTGGAGCCATGTGTTGGTGGGGCAGCGAGGGGCTGCTGTCCCAAGTCATTGAGAATCAATCCTGCTCAACCCCTCTTTCCCCCCTTTGACCCTGGCAGGTGGAGCGGCTAGTGTGCTGGTCGGATAGTGAAGGGTTGCTGGCGGAGTGGCGGGGGCTGACACGTGGCGTGGCCAAGGCGGTGTTGGGCACGTTTGATGCGCTCACTGCCACGCTGCAGGTGCCCGTGGAGCAGCCACGCAGAAACAAGTGGTACGTGGGAGGGAGCGAGCTTGGGAATGGGAGGGAGGGGGGATAAGCAAGTGGTGCTGGGCACGTTTGATGCGCTCACTGCCATGCTGCAGGTGCCTGTGGAGCAGCCACGGCAGAACAAGGTGATACATGCGATTGGAAAATAGTGGTTGAGAGGAGGAGGGGAGGAAGAGGGAGGGGAAAGTATAAAGAAAGCAGTGCTGCGCACGTTTGGTGCCCGTACCGCCATGCTGCACACGTTTGGTGCCCGTACCGCCATGCTGCACACGTTTGGTGCCCGTACCGCCATGCTGCACACGTTTGGTGCCCGTACCGCCATGCTGCAGTTGCCTGTGGAGCAGCCGCGCAGAAACAAGTGGTGCGTGCTCACGAAAGGAGGCAGGGAGTTGTTTCTGTTGGAGAGAGGGGAAGAGAGGCACTTGAGAGGCGGGGTCTGAAAGCAAGTGGTGAGAGCTGTCGTGCAAGAGCGAGTAGCACGGGCGTGGCCGGGAGGAGTCAACTATGGGGTTTAGGTGGTTGAGAGCTTTAAGGAAGAACAATAGGGGAGGCTGACTGGGTTTGACCTCTGTGTGAGCCTTGTACATTGCATCTTATCCCATACTCCGTGTCTTCTGTGCTGTGCTGTGCCGTGCCGTGCCGTGCCGTGCTGTGCGTGGCATGCAGGCGGTTGTTCCGAGGTGAGGGCAGCAGCAGCGGCAAGGAGGGCGGGGGAGGGGGCGGGTACCCGCCTGGGTGGGGCGTGGAGAAGAGTGGGAGCGTGCATGCCGTCACCAGCTATGTGATCAACTACATTGCCACCTACCTGGGCAGGTGGGTGCCGCACGCACCTAGACTAGACCCACACACATGTGCCACATGTCCCGCGCATGTGCATTGCCACACGGCAGTGGGGGCGTGCACGCTATGACCAGCTATGTGGTCAATTACGTCGCCACGTACCTGGGCAGGTGGTGCTGCACGCACCGAGTCCCATAGATGTGCCTCAAACCCCCCGCTTGTGCTTTGTCACGCTGCAATTGGGGCGTACATGCTGTCACGAGCTACACTGCCACCTACCTGGGCGGGTGCGTGTGTATAGCATGGGTTAGGTATGGCACGATGCTGGCTCTGCTGCTAGTAGCACTCACCGCAGCTGCATGTAGGGCATGCGATGTAAGCGCAGGTGGGGGTGTGTGCTGGCATGCGCTGCAGGGCAGGCGTATAGCTTCCCTCGTCGCCACCTACCTGGACAGCACGAACCTAGACTAGACCCACACACATGTACCTCGTGTCCCCCGCATGTGCTTTGTCACACTGCAATGGGGCGTGCGCGCAGTGACCAGCTATGTGGTTAACTAGATCGTCACCGACCTGGGCAGGTGGGTGTGTGTGTACGGCATGTGGCATGCACCCGCCCGCCCACCCACCCACCCACCCACCCGCCCACCCGCCCACCACCCACACATTGGCTCATTGTGGGCGAATGGTATCCTCTCCACCTCTCGCTCCACCCTCACAGGAGTGCCACGTCATCACGGGCGTATGGGTATGGCACGATGCTGGAGAAGCTGCTGGAGACACATGGGGAGGGGAGGAGTATGGAGGAGGAAACCATGAAGGTGAGGGGCGGGGGGGAGGTGGGGGCGTCGGGGCGAAGGGGGGAGAGGTAAGGAGCATGGAGACAAAAGAGGTAATAGAGGTAAGGAGCATGGAGGAGGAAACGATGAAGGTGAGGGGCAGGGGGGGAGTGAGTGAAATGCGTGGGGCACACAAGGTAGCAGAGCAGAACGGTTGCATCTTTCCACTGCATTCTGTGCAGCGAAAAAGCAAAGGCAGCAGAGCAGCGCTCTACTCAAAGCACACATGCAAGAACCCTCTACTCAAAGCACACATGCAAGAACCCTCTACTCAAAGCACACATGCAAGAACCCTCTACTCAAAGCACACATGCAAGAACCCTCTACTCAAAGCACACATGCAAGAACCCTCTACTCAAAGCACACATGCAAGAACCCTCTGCTCAAAGCACACGTGCAAGAACCCTCTGCTCAAAGCACACATGCAAGAACCCTCTGCTCAAAGCACACGTGCAAGAACCCTCTGCTCAAAGCACACATGCAAGAACCCTCTGCTCAAAGCACACGTGCAAGAACCCTCTGCTCGAAGCACACATGCAAGAACCCTCTGCTCAAAGCACACGTGCAAGAACCCTCTGCTCAAAGCACACATGCAAGAACCCTCTGCTCAAAGCACACGTGCAAGAACCCTCTGCTCAAAGCACACATGCAAGAACCCTCTGCTCAAAGCACACATGCAAGAACCCTCTGCTCAAAGCACACATGCAAGAACCCTCTGCTCAAAGCACACATGCAAGAACCCTCTGCTCAAAGCACACATGCAAGAACCCTGTACTCAAAGCACACATGCAAGAACCCTCTGCTCGTACATGCCATTATTGAATGCCTTTTGAGTCGACTCAAAAGGCAACCCTCGGCTCATACATGCTCCTGTCGCATCCTTAACACACCAAGAATCTCTTCCCATTGTATGAGCAATGTACAACCCCCTTCCCTCAAACCCCTCAGCCCACTGTCCACCACACCTCCATCCGATCCGCTTAACCCCCCTCCATCCTCTCGGAACCCCCTCCATCTCTCTCGAACCCCTTCCACCACTCTCAACCCCCCTTTCCCCCATGCAGGTGGTTGATGCATTGGTACGGAACATGGAGGCAAGGGCCAGCACGTGCAACAACCCGCTGCTCAAGTCGCTCTTCCTCGTCAACAACATCCTCTACATCAACCGGTATGCTATGCTGCATGCTCTAACCTGTATAGTGGCTGCGTTGTGCCTTAAGCTATTTGTCTTCTTTTGCGTTGGCCATGCAGGCTTTCTTCGTACCTTCCTCTTTCAACCTAGTCCTATCAGATTTTATTTCCTTGATGTTCTTGCCAGCTCGCTCCCTCACCCCTCCTCAACCCTCCACGCTCACCTTCTTTCTGCTTTCTCGGGCAGGTTGAGTGAAAAGATTCACCTGCCCCTGGAGAATCAGAAGCTGCTTGAGGCCCAATCAAAGGCCTTCAGGGAGGCTGGGCTGCAGAAGGTGAGCAGATGGTAGTGTGCCACGTGTTACAGTGTGCCGTTTATAAGTGTGCCACGTGTTACAGTGTGCCGTTTATAAGTGTGCCACGTGTTACAGTGTGCCGTTTATAAGTGTGCCACGTGTTACAGTGTGCCGTTTATAAGTGTGCCACGTGTTACAGTGTGCCGTTTATAAGTGTGCCACGTGTTACAGTGTGCCGTTTATAAGTGTGCCACGTGTTACAGTGTGCCGTTTATAAGTGTGCCACGTGTTACACCTTGCCACGTGTTACAGCACGCCACACGTTACAGCGTGCCGAGCTTGACAGTCCATGTTACAGTGCACTTATTTTCACTGTACAGCACACATCACTACCGCACGCAGCATGTTACATAGTGCCCGTTTCCCCAGCCTCTCTTCCATCCCCCCACCTCTCAGCCACCCACCATGCGTCTCCACCTCACCTGAGTCACCTCTCTCATGTGTCTGTCTGCTGCCGCTGGTCACAGGTGACGGCATCGTTGGGCGGGCGAGGGAGGAGTGCCACCATGGAGCCCAGTGAAGTCAACCGGCGGTGAGTCTGAGATTAGTGAGTTTTGCTGCTGCCAGTTGGTTCTCAATTCAAAGTGTTGCTGCAGGTGGCAGCATTGTTGGGCCCACAAGGGAGCAGCACTACCAGCGGTGAGATTGAGTCAATGCAGTCAGCAGGCAGTGAGATTGATGTATGGTGCAAGACCCGCTCCTCATCCCTTCCCCCCCCCGGAATCCCTGTCTCACCTTTCCCCTCCTGCAGCTTGCATCGCTTCAACATCGCCTTTGAGGACCTGGCGCTGGAGCAGAAGGACTGGGTGATCTGCGATGGCGCGTGGCGCAAGACCACGGTGCACGAATGGGCGGCGCACGTCAAGCACATCTACGAGGAGTTCCTGGAACCCCACAGGTGTGTGTGATGCTGCAGCAGCGCCGGTGGGGTGTTGGTAAGGGTTTTGAGTTGAATTTACTGTGTGGCGGGACAAGTACCCCTTCTATGTATGGAGTAATGTGAGGGCTGGCGCTTTTTAAGCACATCTACAAATAGTTCCTCGAACCCCACAGGTGGGGTGGTGCAGCCACACAGGTGGGGTGGTGCAGCCACACAGGTGAGACTATCACATCCTTCTCCTCCTGTGGCCCTCCTGTGGCCCCCCTGTGCAGTGACCGCCTGAGCACGCTCTCCTCGTACCACTGGGAGGCACACGCCATTAGGGATAGACTAAAACACCCTCCCTGACCTGACCCCACACTCTCCCCTCTTGTTCGTTCCCGGTGCAGTGAGTGCCTGCACACGCTCTCCTCCTACCACTGGGAGGCAGACGCGATGGAGCGCCTCGTTCTCAAGTCGTTCTTCGCAACCTCCAGATGACACCACCTTGCGGGCAGAGAAAACTCTTTGTCGGCCAGCATTAACATCTTGTCGGGCAGTGATAGCGTCTTGCTGGACAGTGTTAAATTCAAGGATTTTTTTGCTGGCAGCAGCAAGCCGACCTTACTGGTACATACGGTACATGGAAACTGGTTTCACTGTTGCAATTTTATGAGCCTTCTGGTGTGAGCGAAGAAGATGGCTTACTGGAAAGCTGGAACATAGAGGGTGCACTCCAAATTCTTTGTGTGTGGTCCATGTGTTGTGTGGGAAAAATGCTAGGCTGAGAGGTTCAATGTGGTTCAGTGTGGAGTCACTGAGGGTCATTCATGCCTTGTCATGTGTCTGAAACGCGGACCGCGAAGCAGGGCTAATTTTTGGTATTGAGGAACCCTTATGATCAGTGCTGCACCTGTGCAAATTCCTGATTATCAGTGTGACCCCTTAAGAAAATTCTTTTGAATCAGGGTTCAGGCTAGGTTTGAAAATTTTACCCTGAGGCATCAGTGTAAGATTAAAAAAAACCCTGATCATTTGTTGTTACATTGAAAGCACACAATAAATTTTGCTGTGCTGGGCTAAGCCAGGTTTCCTGCAAACCTGGTCGGTCGTGTTGGTGGTATGTCGTCATACAACAAGACCGAGATGAGTCCTTGGCGTTGTGTATTACGAAACTGTAATTCTGGCCAATAGGGGCCCACTTCGTGCCAACACCAGGCCCCCACATTCACTTTTAGAGGCCCTGATCGATCAAGGTCACCCTGTGCTCAAAGGCTGATTGACAGTGTTGAAAAAAAAAAAAGCCTGAAAAATCAGTGTCACTTTTTGAAAAAGGCTGATGGATCAGTGTCCCTAAACCTTAAAGCCTGTTATTGCCAGGGCATAACCGGTCAGAATTAGGAACGTAAGAATGACTAGAATGGGGACAGTACATGATTGTATAGCTAACCCTGATTGGGGTTGTACCCCGTAGAGAGTACCCCACTGTAGCCTACAACATAGAAACACAGTTTGACACACCCCCATAGGCAAAGTGGGGAATAGCAAGAACAACCAACGGACACAAGACCAGTCAAGCAAGAGAACAAAGCTAAGCAAAGCTCAGGGTGGATCTCAAGATCACCACGCATTCTGAGCACAAGCAAGTGGCCACAAGGCCAGTTCACATGCAGAGTTATAAAAGCACAAGCAGTACAATGATCACAACCTAGCAAGAGCAAGCATGCAGGTATATATACAAATAGATCACAGTACAAGACAAGATCAAGAGATAAGCAGGTGAGGCAGAGTATGCACAAGGCCTAGAGCAGTGCAGAAACGCTGATGATCACCAGACCCAAAGGCCTTGGTGAAGACATCAGCAGTGTTGGCCCGAGAGGACACGTAAGCAAGGCACAGCTGACCACGCTGCTGCAGCTCACGAGCAAGAAAGTAACGAAGAGCAATGTGCTTTGTTCTGTGCTCCACTCTCTGCTCCTGACACAAGGCCATCATGGCCTTGTTGTCAACATACAGAACTGGAGGAGAACAAGGCCGCTCACCCAAGTCGGTCAACAGGTAGGTCAGCCAGCGTAACTCCTGTGCAACCATGGCCCCAGCGTAGATCTCGGCCTCACAGCTGGAACAAAGCACAGAAGACGAACGAGTGGACCTCCATGATACAAAACCAGAGCCGAGACTGAAGGAGTAACCCTGGGACGACCGCTGAGTCGCCTTGTCATCAACCCAAGAAGCGTCGGAGTGTCCTGTGAGTACCAATGGACCCCGTCCTCCAAGCACAAGCCCCATGCCCGATGTACTGCACAAGTAACGCAGTACCCTCTGCGCAGCTGTCCAGTGCTCCTTCCTGTGTCGCTCGGGGGCGACGAAGCGAGCAAGGATGCTGAGAGGGTACGCGAGGTCAGGTCGTGTGCACGTCATCAGGTACATGAGGCAGCCCACAAGCTCTGGATACGGGCCACTCGGCTCTACGGACTCATCCGAAGGTGGAGATGAGAGTGAGTGGCCGGTAGCCAAAGGAGTGGGCTGTGGCGAGGAGAACCGAAAGTGGAAGCGCTGAAGGACCTGATGCACCATGTGTGACTGAGTCACAATGATGGTGCACCGTGCTCTGTCCCTGGTGATCTGCAAGCCAAGATAGCTACGCAGCTCACCCATGTCAGTGCAGGTGTGTCTCTTCTGCAGCTCCGCCTTCACAAGGGTCAGCGCCTCAGTGTCAGCAGTAGCAAAGACCAAGTCGTCTACGTACACGAGGATGTAGAACGGCGGCAGAGTAGGGTCGGTGCGCAGAAACAGCGACGGGTCAGCAGTCGAAGGAGCAAACCCAAGAGCCGGAAGTGTCGTCCTCAGTGTGTCGTGCCACTCGCGGGGCGCCTGGCGGAGACCGTAGACTGGCCGTCGGAGGCTCCACTGGGTACTCTCCAAAAACGACCCAGTGAAGCCAGGTGGACGGCGCAGCCAGATATCTTCATGAAGGCTGCCCTGCAAGAAAGCGGTGGAGAATTCGAGGGAGTGCAGCTCGTAGTCATGCTTTGCTGCAGCGTGCAGCAACACCCGAAGAGTATTCATCTTCGGGGTGGGGGAGAAGGTCTGGAAGAAGTCGACCCCCTGTTGCTGACTGAAGCCTCGAGCAACGTAACGCGCGTTGAAGGCAGGCGAAGAACCCGGCGGCGGCTTCACCCTGAAAATCCACATGCCATCGACTATGTTCGCCCTAGGAGGGGGAACCTCGTCAACGTAGGTGCCTGTGGACTTCCAGGAAGCCATCTCTGCATCCATGGGTGTCCGCCACTGAGAGGAGTACTCACCTGTGATTGCCTCTCCGTAAGAGCGCGGGGTGGGGATGTCAAGTGCATCCGGGTCTCGCTCAGGGCAAAGCAGCATGGACGTGAAATGAGGTAAAGCGGCTGCGAGACACTCAAGCTCAAACTGTCTGTCCTCAAGGACGTCATATCCAAGGGCAAGTTCACCCCCGACGGATGGAGGACAGACAGACTCAGACTCAGTACAAGACTCGCGACGTAGTTGAGACGACTCCGAGCAGCAAAGTCGACTAGCTCTGTGACTAGGGCAAACGCAGCAGTAGACTCAAAGTCAGGGTCAGTGACGACAGTAGTGAGGAGATGAGTGACAGTGGGACTGGCAGCACGAGCAAGGTCAGACTCAGGGTCAAGAACGTCAGGAAGAGAGGAGACGGGAGGGCAACACGCTGTGGAACAGAGGAAGGACGAAGTTCCATAACGTGAGTGCCTGGGACAACAGGAGGACGAGGATGGGCAACACAACGAGCACGAACAGGTGTGGAAGCATGAGTCTCAGGCTCACGACGCTCAGTCAGGGACTCAGTCACCTCAGTGTGAGGAGCAGGAGCAGGCAGTGGGGAGCCAGGCAGTAGCTGTGGCTGAGACTGGTCTGGCGGTGGACATAGGAGAGGTGGAGTGAGGCCAGTGGACGACGGGAGACTAAGAACCTGGCGAAGGACCGAGTCACGCGGTGGCAGGGACGATTGCGGCTGCGGGTAGAAAAATGGTCGACGCGGCACAGTACCCGTACCGTCAGCAGCTCCAGCGCCTCCAGCACCAGCAGCTCCAGCACCAGCAGCACCTCCAGTACCAGCACCTCCAGCACCTCCAGCACCAGCAGCTCCAGCACCTCCAGTACCAGCAGCACCTCCAGCTCCAGCACCAACAGCACCTCCAGCTCCAGTAGCACCTCCAACTCCAGCAACTCCAGGACCAGCAGCTCCAACACCTCCAGCACCAGCACCTCCAGCACCTCCAGCACCAGCAGAACCTCCAGCACCAGCATCTCCAGCACCAGCAGCTCTAGCACCTCCAGCACCAGCAGCTCCAGCACCTCCAGCACCAACAGCACCTCCAGCTCCAGCACCTCCAGCACCAGCAGCACCTCCAGCTCTAGCACCTCCAGCACCAGCAGCACCTCCAGCTCCAACAGCTCCAACACCTCCAGCTCCAGCAGCTCCAGCACCTCCAGCTCCAGCACCTCCAGCTCCAGCACCTCCAGCACCAGCAGCTCCAGCACCTCCAGCACCAGCAGCACCTCCAGCTCCAGCACTAGCACCCCCAGCACCAACAGCACCTCCAGCTCCAGCACCTCCAGCACCGGCAGCTCTAGCACCCCCAGAACCAGCACCCCCAGAACCGGCACCCCCAGACTCAGCACCCTCAGAACCGGCACCCCCCAGACTCAGCACCCCCAGAACCACCAGAGCCCACAGCGACAAGCTGCGGAGGTGGCGAAGATGGCCGAGGCGGAAAACCAGGAGGGGTCTCAAAGCGCGGGGAGCGGCGAGTCGTCGCCGTGTCGTCAGCGGCGGGGTCACCCCCCTAAGCTGGGCCAGAGGAGTCAGAGGAGACCTCCAAAGGCTCAACCAAGGGGGGTGGGTCGACCTAAGACACACCTAAGGGAGCAGGACCCTGCGGGGGGAGGGGGTCTACCGGAGGAGGACCTAGGACTAGGAAGAGGGGCGGCAGGGAGAGCGGGGAAGACGTGTGCGGGTGGAGACGGTAGAAGCAGACCGAATCGTCAAAGGTGACGTCATGTGAAGACAAGACCCGGCGCGAGACAGGATGGTAAAACTGCCAGGGCGGGGCGTCGGTGGGGAAGCCAAGGAAGATGCAGCGGAGAGTGCGAGGGGAGAGCTTGCTCGCGGTGGTATCACGAACAAGGGAGAGCGCGCCCCAGACCCGAAACGCCGACGCATCGCCAACCTCCCCCGTCCAACGCAGTGTAGGCGAGGTCTCTTGCACAGAGACACGGGGCCAGAGGTTGAGCTGATGCGTGGCGTATCGGACCGCAAACGGCCACAGAAAATGGGGAGCAACCGCATGGATCATGGAGGTGCAAGCAACCTCCATGACTAAGCCAATGCGGCGGTCAGCAATCCCATTCTGCTGGAGAGAGGCCGGAAGCGTGAACGTCTGGCGGATGCCCTCCGCACGACAATCCCGAAGGAGGTCGGAGGAAAACTCACTGCCTCT